AGCGCGGGACTCACGGGCCGAGCCGGGCGGGGGAAGGGCCCGGGCTCTGCGCGAGGCTGGCGGAGCCGAGGAGCGCGTCGCGCGGAGCAGGTCCCCTCGGCCTGGCTGTCTTGAACGGGCCGTCCCGTCTTGGGCCGGGCTCAGGGCAGCAGCCCTTGGACGTGTCCTGAGCCCACTCTGCCTGGGCGGTGGCGGCTTGATCCTTGCGCCACCCGTGCATGGATGTAAACTGGATCATGCCAGGCCGCCACGGTCAGAAAGTATTTCAGTAACCGCTCAGGTTTTTCTCCTGAAAACCTTTGTCTCATTTGGGTGCCTGGAGCTGCGCTGCGTTGTTTCGTACTAACACATTGCGTTGCAGAAAGTGCTTTTCAGTTTTAACAGGTTTTTCCCAGGAGCAAAGAAGCTGTGTTTGTGTGGTTCAGGCGTTGCCTTCCTGTGCCCCCCCTGCACGTATTAAACGTTTCTTCCTACGTGGTGCAGTTAGGAAGTCTTGGTTCACTGTTATATTCTTAGTACAAGAGCAGTGAAACTGAAAACACCTGCTGCTTTATAATAGATCATGGGGGAAAACCCCTAGAAGTGGGCTGCAACCTGAACTTGGTTGGGTTTTTTTTAACTCACTTTTTGCCCGTCTGTTCTGGGTCTCATTTATGCCTGCAAGGAACAATTGTAATACTTGTCTTGTTGCACTAGGGGGGTGGGGATAGGGTTTGACCCATCTGGCTACATTGTGGCCAGATGGGTCAACAAGCTCCACAGGCTGAAGTTTGCACTGAGAAACGTCCTCTGGAGATGGCAAGGAAAAACATTTTTCCTTTAACTTTCCTTGGACACTTTACCAGCCTCAGGCTGAACAACCTCCCTGTAATTTATACCACAGCTATGTAGGGGGGAAGGGCACGGGTGGTGGCTGTAGCAGTGTGTCAGGGTGACAGCAGATGCCCTGATCATCCTTGGAGCGGGGCAGTGCACGTGGCAGCCCTGTAGGCAGATGCTTCAAAATGTAGAGGATGTGCCTGCCTGCTCTGTGTGGTGTTGCCACAACTGCAGTCCCCTACCTTCTGGAGTCAGCTTTGCTCCTAATTGTATAACAGTCTGTTTGATTTCTTCAACTCACTTTCCTAGTTTTTTGTTTACATTTTTGAAGCCTGGGAGCTATATTTCTGGAAGGAGTGCCTGATTTTTGTTTTGGGTGGCTACATGCTCATGTTGTTAGCGTTGTCCTGCAGTTGTATGTTTCTAATCACACTGTCAAATGCATGCATGACATCTGACTCATGAGGCTCCCATAACTACTGTATTCTCTTGAGTTCAGTTATAATAAAGTGTTTCTAGTTGGTTGGCATTGATACTAAAATCTATTTCTGTGCCTGTATGAGAGAGACAGTTTGAAATGGCTAGCAGCATTTAATTGATTTCAGTTTCACTTTTTATTCCTTGGGAAAGAGAAAGTTTCTAGAAAAATTATGTAACAAAAGAAAATGCCCTATAAAAGCTAATGGTAAAGTTTTAGCTGGCTTTTAATCAGAGAAGGCAAAGGAATGACTTATTGTTTGTAATCTCAAATTGTGGGGAGATGCAAACTTTTCTTATGTGCGTACAGAATCAGTCAAAAAATCATTTTTACATATGCACGCTCAAAGTGAATGGAGACTAAATACTGTAGGTACATAATGCTAATTTTTATTTCCTTATTTGTGTTTCTTTGCAGAAATTGTTCTTGTGCACTGCAGATATATGCAGAAAAACAAATGAATGGGGACTGTGCTTGGCTTACTAGTATAGTCTGTACTGTACAGAGCCTGCCAGAAGGAGCTGTATGTGTACATACAATCAGAGTCAGAAAAAGTGCTTTTACTATGGCTTATACCAGTTTTCCAACCAAAGTAAGCTATAGTGGTTAAAGCACTTTTATGTTAGTACTAGCAAATTGCCTATCAAGAATGATGGATGAATTTCATATAACAAAAACAAACAGATTTTACTTTTTATATTTATTAAATAAATTAAATATTTATAAAACTTAAAATAGGCTGAACATTTGAAGATACCAATCCCTTCTTGCACTTGCTCTCATCCAGCGGCTGAGGCGGACCTGCCCATGCTGTCACCTGGCCACTGTCTGCACGCCTCTGCTAGGCAAGGGCAGGCGGGCTCCGCACTTCGCAACAGCCACCCATGCCCCGGGGCTTCCTCCGTGCTGCCCTCGGGCACCTCCTTCCCTGTTTGGGCTGTGGGACGGGGCTGCTACTGCTCGCCCACTGCTTCATGACTCTGCCTGGCTCCCACTTTTCTTCAGATGGCCCCCCTCTCTGCCCTCCCTGCTGTCCCAGGCACCTCCTTCCATGCACGGGGCTTGGGATGGGGCCACCACTGCTTGCCCGCTGTCTCGTGCCTCTGTCTGGCTCCCGCTTTTCCTTAGCCAACCCCTCTGCCCTCTCCATCACACTGGGCTCCCAGCGCCCTCCCAGGAGGAGCTCAGTAGAAACAGCCCTGGCCCCTGACTTTTCTTCCCAGCTATGGAAGTTGGGATCATCCTGACATGGTCATTAAACAAATGCTAAAGTTTAGCAAAGAAATTTCTCTGAAGACACAAATGTTCTCTCTCTCTCAGTTTTCAAGCTATTCACATTTAAGGAGCATTAAGGACAGACAGATGGCCTAAGCCCTTATATAGAACTGCATCTATCCAACACCTTTTGCTAGTATACAAATGTAATTTAAAAAAAAATCACATCCCTAACTGGTGTTGTTATATTGGCTTATGTTTTTGGTTGAGATATGGCTTGAGCCTCTACATGTCTGCAAGACTTACCTTGAGAATATTGCTACATTGCAGGATTTTTTTTTTTTTTTTGTCCCATGAGTAAATTTCTCCAAAAAAAAGAAAAATGAAATGTGTATCAGCAGAGCAAAATGCAGTGTTTCCAGGATTCATTGGCTGTGAAGACACTCCTGATCACTCTGGGTTTAAATGCAAAGAGCAAAAGGATGGAGGAAGTAAAAGAAAACAATCATAAAAGTCTAAAGGAGCTTTAGTAGTCAGATACGTAGGGTTCTTGCTGTTCAAGAGTTTGGGGTTCAGTTTTTAGGTCTAGTCTACATGTAAAACTTGGTCATTTAGCCATTTCAGTTTGGGGTGTAACCAGTGTAGTTAAAAGCCATACACCTTCCTACTATAGACAAGGCTTGGGGGTTGGTCTATACTTCAAAGTTTTATCTGAGTCAGTTAAGAATACAAGGAAAAAATGCATCCCTAACTTATGCAGTTGTGCAGCAAAAGCTCTGTTATCGATATACTTATCCTGGCAAAACATCCCATTGGCATAATTTGGGGAACTGCTTTAAGCTGTACTGCCAAAAGAGCTCTCTTCCTAGCATAGGCTGCACCTTCATGAACTCTGACAAGCCCTTTTAAGTTGAAGAAAGCCTTTAGTTTTGCCTGACTTCCTCTCTTTCCCCAGGTCAGTATGCCCATGCAATCAGGTTGATGAGGATGACCTATTCCATTATTTTATAGCTGGGTGACATTGTTAGAGAGACCCAAGTTAAATGAGGTTGACAGGCTGATATAGTTAGCTTGAAAATTCATGCTAATATGACATATGACTTGTTCATTGTAAATTTAGATCTAAAATGTTAGAGATTTTAAAATATACTCTCAAACTATACTCTCAAATAGTAGCGTATCTCATTGGAATTCTACAAAACTGTTATAGGTGAAAACAAATTGAAAATGAAGGCCCCACTTCTGTAAAGATTTAGTCGTGTGCATAACTAATTGTACTCATTTACTTCAGTGGGGCTGGTTCTGTTTAAAACTAAATATGTGCTATATGTTTGAAGCGTAAACGGGTAACATTGTATTTTTATTAAATTGTCCTGTTACTAGCATAACATCTTTTTCGTTTCAAAACAGTTTCAGTGTTGAGTGTACTTATTTAGACTTTTGGTGCATTAGCAGAAATAATTGTGCATTTGCTTTATGTATACAAGTCTACAGTAAGGCTTTAAACTTGTATTAAATTGTATAAGCATACAATATTTTAAAAGAACAGGTCCCATTGACTTCAGACTGCAGATGTTCAGTGAGCATTTTAATTTCTTGATTTATGGAAGTTCATTATATTAAAGATGGTGTTGCAAATATGCCATTTGTTATTTCAGCAATTCTCAACCAGGGTGCAGCAAGATCCTTCTAAGGGTGTGGTGGGGTGCTAGGTAATATTAGTACTGTTAGATGTGCAGATGCTTATACATGATTCACAAGATAAACCTAGTCATCTCAGACAAGAATCCATAGTATCCAAAACCTTCTGACCAGTTGCAGTCTTTCTGGTTTCTTTGCAAGAGGAGAATTGCTGTATTATTTTTCTGTAGTAAAAAATGAGTGAAAACTAAGAGCTGGCATTTTCAAGGGGTTCCTTGAGTCTAATGAGAGGTGCCATGGCTCTGAAAAGGTTGAGAACCATTGGGTTATTTGCTTATCAGCTGTGTTTGCATTTATGATCACACAGTGACAATGTTTACAGAGCCCTGGGTTTGCCTTTGTTCAGATAAAATTTTGAGCTAAATGAAATGTGCACAGAAAAAAATATGTATGTAAAATCTGGATTTCCATTAGGAATTAAGAAATTAATAAACTAACAATCTAAAAATATAGATCTGGCAACACTTAATAAAATATTTTAAGTACAAAAAGGATAGAATATATGGTATGTCTTTTTTTTTAATCTCTGCTGTTCAAAAACAACCCATCCATGTGACTAAAGTGTAAAATGGATGGGCTTCCTTGGATTTTATAGCAGTTAAGCTGTAGGATAAATGTGCATTGCACTAGGGAGGCTGGGTTACCATGATGTTTGGCATCAGTATTAGGTGTAAAGGGAGGGGAAAAGGCAATCCGTTGGGCTTCAGCTGGGAGGAGAGGTCCCATTGGGTTTAAAAAAAAAAAAAAAAAGTGAGACAAGGCTATTGAGGAAAGATCCCGTGTTACAATTAGACATGCAACAATTTTCTTTGTTCCTGTAGTAAAACATCATTTTTAAATTGTGAATGCATGTATGTAGAGCTTTTGGTTTAAATTGCTGTTTATTGCAAAAGCACATTGCATTTGAGTTCAGTAATAGCTAGTAAATATTTGTTTAACCTGGAAAATTCTACATTTTAAAGTTGAACACTCTCTTCACTTCCAGAAAGGCAGTATGTTTGATGTTGGTGGCTGTAGGATTATAGAAATAAATGCCAAAACCCAGAAGCCCTTACTGTGAAACATAACTAGCTGCTTTCTGAATGTGTCCTTGGAGAGTTCTTTTCTAACATTTGTTTACTAACTAGCTACACATTAAAACAGACTGATTTAAAAGCAAAACTCTCTCTCCCCCTCCCCCTCCCAGCTCATTCCATTTAGTTGAGAAAGGGAGGGAAGGGTACTTCAGTTTAAATCTTCCACTGTGGTGTCTTGAAGGTTAATCAAGGTTACTTCTATTAAGTTAAGGCTAGCTAGGACTCCAAACCTTTTGGCACAACTTCACTTCTGCCTCTATTAAGGCTGTGGATAGATGTAACACTAAACTTTTAAAAGTGCAGGGATTTACTGCTTGGGAGAACACACAGTAGTTGAACTGAAGTACAAGGGTGTTCAGAAACTTAAAGGCACAATGGCTGCCTGCACTGCATGTCTGCAACAAATGGGAAATTACACAGCAGCTGGGAGCCCTGGTGGCAGCATGGTCCAACGCACCCATCATTTTGCACTGGACACGTGACGCTAGTAAGTACTTCAACAGCATGCCAGCACAGCTGTTAATGTGCACCAAAGAGCAGCATTCTGTCCTTCATTTTCATGGGTTGAGGGTGTGCCACCTAGTGAAATTCTCTATAGGATTTGGGCACAGCACAGTGATGCTTTCATGGCTCAGCAGAAGATCTTTGAATGGTGGAGAGAATCAAAAAGCCACATGTGAAGTGAATGAACCCCAGGCAACTTGCCCCAACACAGCCATGATGGAGGACAGTGTTGCTAAGGTTGATGCTGCTGTATGTACAAACAGGTGAATGAGTATTCCAGATCTAGTGGTGGAGGTAGGCACAAGCGCTGACAGTATCCATGTTGTATGGCTTAATCACCTGAATTACTGGAACTTGTGTGCCCATTGGCTGCCAAAGCAGCTAACGGATGTGCGTACGCGACAGTGTGTGGAAGTGCATGTCCAGCTTCTGCAATGTATAGGGTGATTGTGAGGGGTTCCTCTTGCAAATTAACGTTGGTTACAAGGCCTGGGTCCACTGTTACAATCCTGAGAGGAAAAGGCAGAGCGTGCAGTGGAAACGCACGTTGTTGCCACCCTCTCTGTACACACATCCTCTGAGACAGTCTCACTCATCTGGCTTTGGTATTGCATAGAAGCACAGGGTCATGATCAACAACTACCTACTGCCACCTTGTCCAAAACCACCTAAAGCCAGCTAGTCAGACTAAATGTCATGGAAAGCTTGACCAAGGTGTTCTCCATGACAGTGTGAGGCTGTATAGCACAGACTTTGCACAGGCTGGGCTTTGAAATCTTACCACGTCCGCCCTACAGTACTTATCTTGTGAATATGAATATCACCTGTTTTGGACCACTGAAGAAGTTCTTTGTGGACACAGATTCATAATTAATGCAGGGGTGCAACTCACAGTACAGAAGTTGCTGTGATAGCAACCTAAAAGTTTGACTTGCAGGAATACCCATGTTGCAAAATATGGCAGCTGTCTAGAGAAGTGATGTAGTCTGGTGCACATAATGTGGTTTTATTATGAAATTGCCATTTAGTTTCTGAAACACTGTCATAACTGTTTGGTCCATTTGCTCCTGTGATGGCAAAGTGGAGCTTAACTATTGTAAAATTAAACCCAAATGAAATAATTTAAAGTTATGGAAGTGTACTCTACATAGAGTGGAATGGAATGGATGAAGTAGTTTCATAGATTGTAAGATGCAGTGGTCACCAACCAGTTGACCGGTGGATCTCGGAGCCTCTTGAAGTTGGTCCTGGGCTGAGGGAGCTGAACATGTGTGCATGGCACCCTCTCCCCCCACAAGTCCAGCTGGTCAGTTGGTGGGGGAGGGAAGGGGCGGAGGCCCTGGGGGCACATGCATCTGGGCTCAGGGTGCAAAGCCCAGCCTGCAGCTGCAGCCAGCTTGTCCAGAGGGTGCAGGGGTGGGGGAAGCACATGCCCCTGTATGTGCATGCGGGGAAGTGAGCCATACAAGTCTCTGATCATACGGGTGTCCCTTCTCTGGACTCGAGCTTTACCACGTCCTTGTTAAAGCGTGGCGCCTAAAACTGGATGCAGTACTCCAGCTGCAGTCTCATCAATGCCCAGTAGAGCAGAAGAATCACTTCCTTGGTTTTGTTGGTGATGCATCGATTGATGCATGCCAGCATATTGTTTGCCCTGCTGGCTACAGTGTCACACTGCCGACTCATATTCATACTGTGGTCTATTATTACCCCCAGGTCCCTTTCATTCGTGGTGCTGGTCAGTTTGGCACCGCCAAGCCTGTAGGTGTGTAGGGGGTTGTTCGTCCCCAGGTGGAGCACTTTACATTTCTCAGTGTTGAACTTCATCTGGTTTCGACTCTCCCAACTTGCTAGTCTGTCTAGATCATCCTGTATCTGTAGCCTATCTTTAAGCTTGACCACACTTCTCCATAACTTGGTGCCGTCTGCGAACTTCGCCAGTGAGTTCTTTACCTCCACATCCAAATCATTGATAAAGAAGTTGAAAAGTACTGGACCAAGCACTGACCCCTGTGGGACATCACTGGCTGCTTCTCGCCAGGACGACAGCGATCTGTTCATTAGGACTCTCTGGGTCCTACCCCGCAGCCAGCATCATACCCACCTGTCTCGCAGTTAAGCCCACAGTCCTCCAATTTTCTCGCAAGAGCATCATGGGATACCAGATCAAAGGGTTTTTGGAAGTCAAGGCATACAGTGTCAACCTCTTATCCAGGTGGCTAGTTACCTGATCATAAAAGGAGATTAGGTTAGTAAGACAAGACCTTCCCACGATGAAGCCATGCTGGATGTCCTTCAGGATCCTACCTCTTGCAAGCCTATCGCGCACACACTTCTTAATTAATTTTTCCAGGATTTTTCCTGAAATAGAGGTCAGGCAAATTAGCCTATGGTTACCCAGGTCCTCCCTCTTCCACTTCTTGAAGATGGGCACAACATTGGCCCTCTTCCAGTCCTCAGGGACCTCACTGGAATTCCACCAGTTTGGAAGAGTTTTACCAGGAATGTTTTGTTTTCCTCCTGTTCCCCACATACCTAAAGAAGGACTTCTTGTCCTTGACTCCTGTTGCTAATTTAAGTTCAGTCACTGCCTTCGCTTTTCTAATCTCCTCCCTACAATTGCGGGCCGTTGTTTGTGTAGTCCTCCTTGGGGCCTGTCCCAAGCTTCCATTGTTTGTATGCCTCTTTCTTCTTTCTTAGGAGGACTGTGATTTCCCTGCTTTCTGGTACCTTTCTTTTGCATGGGAATAGACTTCCTATGTGCTTCAAGGGTCATGTCCTTAAGGAATGTCCACTCTCTGTGCACTCCTTTCACCTTCGGTCCCTGGTCCCACAGCACTATTCCTACTAGTGACCTGAGCTTGTTGAAATTTGCATTTTTGAAGTCCGAAACTTCAACCCTGCTATCTGATTTGTCTGCCTTGTGATAGACAGTGAACATGATGGTTTCATGGTTGCTATCACCCAGGGTACCCTCTGTATTTAAGTCAGTCACTAGGTTGTCTCCTTTGGCCAGGACCATGTCTAGGAGCGCTTTACCTCTAGTTGGCCTGTGCACCTCCTAAGCCTTCCCCCCGCTTGCAGCTTGACCCAGAGGGTTTCAAGCCATTCTTTGGAGCTGATGTCGGCCTCCATTGCCCAGCTATTAGATCGGCTATTGGTATTGGCCAAGAAAATCTCTATCGGTGCATCCCTAGTCCTAAGTGAAGGACAATGTGGAGAGCAGTGCTGTACAGGTATGTCTGTTCAGGAAAAAGGGTGTGGGGTAGGGAAGGGGCATGGGGGGCAGATTAAGGCCCCCACAATGAGGGTGGAGTGGGGTGGGGTGGAGGCTAGGGGTGCTGCCCAGCTAGGGTGGTGAATGGGACCCTGGGGCCAGGGTAGGGAGCAGGACAGAGCTGTGGGCAGCTCATCCATCTGTGGGTAGCTCATCCTGGCACTTAAAAATGATGGTGGGGGTGCTTGAACTAAAGCTCGTCAAATGAGCTTTAGTGCAAGTGCCTCCACTACCATTTTAAGCATGGGGACGCATTTAGGAGAGGAGCCAAACGGTGCAAGGGCAGAGGCAGGCTGTTTGCCATGGGCTTGGGTACACAGACGAAAGGCAGGAGGGTGGACATCCCTGAGCCCACAGTGGGCAGTCTGTCTCCACCTGCGCGCAAATCTAAGGGGGGTACATGCCCCCCATGCCTTCTGCAGGGGTGCGTGCAGCGGCAGGGAGCCGCCTCCTTCCTTCCTCCCCACCGTGACCCTGGATAAGTCTCCATCCCCTGAGTCCCATTTACTGTCCTGGCTGGACAGCACCTCCAGCCCCTGCTCCTGCCCCACTTCCTTCCTCATCATGGGGGCCTCTATCTGCACCCCCACACCACCCCCTTCCCCTTCACAGACTTACCCACAAGGCACTGCTCTCCACATTGCCGGGCTGCGCTCCTGGCTGTTTGCATGCTGCAGCTGCGTGCATGCATGTGGCATCTGGGGGGCCTTGGCCAGAAGGCGTATTCTATTTATTGGTACATTACTGGCTACACTGGCCACAAAATGCTGATAGCCGACAATGTTCATTTTCCTTTTATTGGTGCCAATCCGATATGGCACCTGTATATTGGTTCACCTCTACTTGGGACAGAGCAATCCCATGCATTGGGAGCTGACTGGCTAGGCTGCAGAAAAGGACTTGGGGGTTACAGTGGGCAATAAGCTTGTTGCCAAGAAGGCTAGTGGCATACTGGGCTGCATTAGTAAGAGTGTTGCCAGCAGATTGAGGGAAGTGATTTTTCCCCTCTAATCAGCACTGGTGAGGCCACATCTGGAGTAGTGTGTCCAGTTTTGGGCCCCCACGACAGAAAGAATGTGGACAAATTGGACAGAGTCCAGCAGAGGGCAGTGCAAATGGTGAGGGGGCTGGGGACAATGACTTCTGAGAGGCTGAGGGAACTGGGCTTGTTTAGTCTAGGGAAGAGAAGACAGAGGGGATTTAATAGCATCCTTCAACTACCTGAAGTGGGGAGGTTCAAAAGAGGATGGAGCTAGAGTGTTCTCAGTGGTGGCAGATGACAGAGCAAGGAGCAATGGTCTCCAGTTACAGCAAGGGAAGTTTAGGTTGGATATTAGGAACATTTTTCTTACTAGGTGGGTAGTAAAACATGGGAACAGGCTACCCAAAGAGTATTATAGTACTTAGGGTCTGAAGGGACCTAAACAGATCATCAAGTCCGACCCCCTGCCCCAGGTTGAGAGGTTGTGGAGTTTCAATCTTTGGAGGTTTTTAAGACCCAGGTAGAAAAAGCCTTATCTGGAATAATCTAGTTGGGGCTGGTCCTGTTTTGAGTAGGGGGTTAGACTGGATGACCTCCTGAGGTCCCTTCCAACCCTAATTTTCTATGATTCTAAGAAATGATGTATAATGTAACGTTCTGTTTGTTTTAACACAGATTTTATAAGGGGAATATAAACTATACTTGCCACCTAATAAAATGTATG